GAGACAAATTTGCATCCTGAACACACACTGTAAGAAGATCCAGGAAATGCTTTTAATTCCTTGATCTCTCCAACTTGAAAGAGGATAAAACCAAGTTTGGGAAGGCCAATCCATAGTATCTGCTACATAAGTCATTCAGTTGCCACTGCTTCAAGTTGTTCCTGAATTTTTCCTAGCTGAAAGTAATTGTCCTTCCTCCTTCTTTAAGGGGGTGGTTTTCAACCGCGCTGGATATTAGAGCTACTTGAGAACGGAAAAATACTTATTTTTAGTGCACTCCCAAAAAGTCTAATTTATCTGAGACAGGGATGCACCTTGGACATTTTTTAAATTCTAATGTGTACCCAATGTTTAGAACTACTGCTATAAAACTTGTAACCTTTCATTTATTCTCATCACTTCCTAACTTTTGTTTAGTGATTTATGAAATGTCCTTACTCTTCCTCCTAGATCATAAGCTCTCTGCAGACAGTATGTGAGTCTAATCTATTTTTATATCCTTTACAACTTGCAGCAGATTACTTTGCAAATGACATGTACTTTACATGTTTTTCAAATGCATTAATAAATAGATGGTGTGTGATGCCTTGCAAACAATAGTATATTAAAGATACCAGGCATGGCACCTAGTCCTTGCCTCTCTCCCACGTGAAATGTTCTCAACTACACTTCTTGTAAATCTATTCATTCTGCATAGCATAGTAAAAATGTTAAGTGGATATATTACTCATAGCATTAGGCTTTTTATCAATAACTCACCATAAAATATAACTTGACGCAAAATTGTTCTGGTTTTAAAAATAGCACTTAAGAAATAACATTCTCAGCTACAGAAACTATTACCAATGAACTTACATCTTTTTTTTTTTTTTTTTTTTTGAGACGGAGTTTTTGCTCTTGTTGCCCAGGCTGGAGTGCAATGGTGCTATCCGGGCTCACCGCAACCTTCACCTCCCGAGTTCAAGTGATTCTCCTGCCTCAGCCTCCCAAGTAGCTGAAATTACAGGCTTGCGCCACCACACCCGGCTGATTTTATATTTTTAGTAGAGCAGGGGTTCCTCCATGTTGGTCAGGCTGGTCTTAAACTCCCAACCTCAGGTGATCCGCCCACCTCGGACTCCCAAAGTGCTGGGATTACAGGCGAGACACAGAACAGCCGAACTTACATCTTTTTAAGGGAGAAATCTAAAATCTAAAGGAGGGAACTAGAAAAACAAAGCCAAGTCCATTGATGTCATTGAATTGCTGAACTACTCATCTGTCTTCTACTCATCTGTCTTCATTATGTTCTTTGATGTATCAGTGTACCACTAAATAAACCTTCTAAAATCCCAATATGCAAAGATAAAACTTCTGGGCTTAAATGTTGTGTTAGTTGCTGAATAACTTTGAAAGAAGTTTGAGAAGAATGTCTAAGTGATACATTCCAAGTGAATGACTAGCACTGCTGAGTTCACACCTAGAAAAGTTGAATGCTAACCAATTGGGGGTACATTGTTTATGTTAATAGTTCTTACAGCTCATAATTAAGAACAGCTTTGCTCAAGACTTTTTAATCTTTGAAAGCAAAAATTTTCCAATGTCTTTGACAAATTATTCCTCAGGTGGTGATTCCTGAGACAAAAATCACATAGTCCTCATCCTCTTTCCTACAGCTCTACCTGTTAGGGCATGATTAAAACAAGCTAATTGGCTTGCTCTTCTGGACACAGAATTATTCCCTGAGAATTTTAAACTATTAATGTTAGTGATAAAGAAGTGGAAAAAGTAAAGAATAATGTTTAGAAAAGCGTAAGATAGTAAAAAGTGGTCAGATTGGAAAAATTCATTCTCTTACCTGTTCTGCCTGCTTCATTCCAGTTAGAACTACTTGCATTCGAAGTTCAAATCACTTTAAAAAGCTTTAAAGTTTCAAGATCCTTCTTCATCCTTAATGTACCCAGGTGAAAATTTGTTCTCAAAACTAAACATTTCCCAACTTCAAATGAGCTCCTATGCCATTCTCTCACTTGTCTTTTCCCTTCCTCAATAAAGTTTGATCTTTCCTTCCTTTCTTCTTTCTTTCCTTCCTTCTTTTCTTCCTTCCTTTCTTCCAATCTTCCTTCCTTCCTAACAGATTTCCAACAGCTTAACTTCCTTAAGGTCTTCCTAGAAAGGTCTCTCCTCACTCTCCTTTCTATTATAATGGTTCTCTAAGAATTCTATATTGTTCTAATAGAATGTGTATCTTTTATATAGTTATAATACCTCTATTTTTAAGAAACACTATTTGGATATATTCAAAGATCAATAGTTAAACGATAGACTTCATGAAAATGAGGAATGAATTTCTTAGTGTATTTTTTCTAACCAAGAAGAAAAGAATAAACATTCAGTTTGTTCTCTTACTTCAAATTACATTCACTATTACTAAGACAGGGGCTAAGCTAAGAGAATTCAGACTCCTTGAGGGGGCAGGGAGTTCAAATCATTGAGTAAATATTTAAGAAGTGTTGACCTGGACCAAATGCCTCCTCCCACTGTATAGTCCTACAAGTGTAAAATCACAAGGTTTTGAGATATTAGACCAATACTGTCCTCACCCTACCCAACTTCCTGATGTTGCTTTTACAAAACAGAATTGAATAAGAAGTGAATTTCTTCCTTTAAGAGGCCGGGTGCGGTGGCTCACGCTTGTAATCCCAGCACTTTGGGAGGCCTAGGCGGGCGGATCACAAGGTCAGGAGATCGAGACCATCCTGGCTATCATGGTGAAACCCCGACTCTATTAAAAATACACAAAAAAAAAAAAAAAAAACTAGCCGGGCACGGTGGCGGGCGCCTGTAATCCCAGCTACTCAGGATGCTGAGGCAGGAGAATGGTGTGAACCCAGGAGGCGGAGCTTGCAGTGAGCAGAGATCGCACCACTGCACTCCAGTCTGGGTGACAGAGCGAGACTCCGTCTCAAAAAAAAAAAAAAAAAATTAAAAAATATGGTCTATGTTGTGAGGAATTTTCTGTGGATCCAGGCCTATTATCCTATTAGGACTTGGATGGGAGAAGGACCATCTTGTCTTATATTTAGGCATCTGATCTGATCACTAAATAAGTTACAGGTATTTTGATGTTGTCATGTTTAAAGTGTCATTTAAAATAAGCAATTGAAATATTATCAATTTGGTGTAATCCCTTTTGTGGTTTTATATATTCATTTTATAATACACTAAAAGCCTCACAAAATGGCAGTAGACTGCCAGTTCCTAACCACTGAGGGGCTATATTTCATGATGCTATTATATACATCTAAAACGAAAATAAATATTAATGAAAGTGACGTTTTCCATATTAAGTGAAGAGAGTTAAAGGTACATACTTTTTTTCTATGAAGTGATAAATACTTGATTGCTGTAAATGTGAATAAAACTTTTATTTTTAAACCTTTCAAGGGAATTAGATCTATTTTCCTGCTGTTTTCAAGCCTTCAGTAACCCTCTGAGTGTGTTTGTACTCACTAGGAAGGAACATTTCTGTGGAATTAATCAAATGGAGAATTCAATGTTCCTTGTAGATGATTTTGGCCACGTTCCATTGCGAATTTTCTAGTCTGCATTTCGTCTTTCCTGGGAAAAGACCCACATATTCCAAATCCTCTGCCTTTTCTCTACTTGTTAGTGAAGAACAATATAGCAAAACTGCTATGTACAGAATTAATAATCATGGGCATTTAGCAAGGCTCTCTGCTGGGAACTTCATCACTAGAATAAGGCAAACGCATGAGAATAACAGTTCAAATGTAGTCAATACAAACTAGTATCAAAAACGCTGTTGTATCATCATCGTTAATTGCTCCTCTGATTTTGCCAAAATTAAAAAAAAAATTCTGTTGGGAGAGAATTAGAAAATATTCAAAGCTCCTAATATATTCCAGTAAATCCTGAGATGACAAATCTCATTTTCCGAGGAAAAGCAGTACTACTTTTTTTTTTTGTAACAACAAAGAATTCATGTTCAACGCCTAATTAAAACCTTTGGAAATCTATATGCGTAGTTTCTTAATGGCTTTCCAAATTTACAAGACAATCAGAATCCTTATCTACCACTGGCTTTAGGTTTCATATCAGCTTTTTTATTCACCTTACAGAATGATTTTCACCTTGCAGATGAATTCTAGCTATTTTATCCATAGCTATAATGGAATAGCTGTTGCTATTATTTATACTCTATACATATTACTTTGGCCCTAAAGCCTGAAGGAACCTATTATTGTTTTCTACCACTGATGATTTTATATGCACTTCTGCATTTGGGCAATTGTTCAACAATAGTCACAAAGACCTAGCACTTGTTCAGAATCCTACCTGCTGAGGAGTTTTATTTGGCCAGCTTGGTAAAAGGTATTTAAATGAAGATATCTAAAGCTAGTAGAAAACAGAGATTTTGGAGTCATCAGCACATTTGGGATGGTGGAAGTCACAGCTAAGGAGGGGATGTGGTACAGGAAGACCTTGGGGTAAATGTGCAGAGCCCTTATTCAGTGAAGACTCGAATGACAATGTATTGATTATTAATTTATATTTCAGTAAAAAAGACTGTTTTTCCATCAAAATCTGCCTCTAGAATTTTCCAGCAAGAAGTAAGTGATGACAGTTATTAAAAGCCCTAGCAACAGTTTATATTTATATCCTTGAGGTAAAACCATCCTGTTTCAACAGATACCATATTCTCATTGAATTCCACATTAGCTTATGATAAACACAAGATGTTTTTCATAATCTAGCTGCAGGTTTTATGCATTTTTTTTAGCAAAACACACAGGAACTGCCAAGATGGGAGAGTAACCTTTCCTAAATCACTCCAAATGTCACCATGACTAGAAGCATATTTTCCTAAATTGGTGGATTTTTGCTTAAGAAAATATAAATTCATCCGAATGCTTCACTCACATTATATTAAGGTTTCGTCATTTATCCTATAAACAAAATTCTGCTTTTATATACATGAATCACTTTGTCATTCACAGGATCAAACCAAAATGACAACTGCTCAATTTTACTGTCAATACTGCACAGCATCACTTCTTGGGAAGAAATATGTACTAAAGGATGACAGTCCGTACTGTGTTACATGTTATGATCGTGTATTTTCTAACTATTGCGAGGAGTGCAAAAAACCAATTGAATCCGATTCTAAGGTAAGTCTCAACACAATTTACAGAATTACTGCATATGAACAGCAAACAAGTGGGTTGGAGTGCCTCTTTTCCTTTAGTGTTGACTCTCAACACCATTTCTCTGCTACTGGATATACAAGGATCTTAAAAGTTACCAGCAGTCAAACTCTAGCCACTACACTTAGCACTATGAAATACAACATATGCTTAATCCTCACATGATCTTATAAGGTAGCTGAGAATGCTAAAGATTAATGATGTTAAGCTATTTGTCCAAAGTTACACAGCTAGAATTTTCCTGCTGTTTCCAAGCCCTTGGTAACCCTCTGAGTGTGTTTGTTATTTCTGGAATGACAAGGGTATAAATAAATGCATAAAGAATTGAAGTTGTAAGGATTCAAAATCTGTTTTCTGACGTAAAATCAGCTTTATTTCTACTAAGCCCTACTGATAGCTGTCACTCCTACCACCCATTCCTCCGACATGCTTATTTTCTCTCTCTCTCTCTTTTCTTTCTTTCTTTCTTTCTTTCTTTCTTTCTTTCTTTCTTTCTTTCTTTCTTTCTTTCTTTCTTTCTTTCTTTCTTTCCTCTTTCCTTCCTTCCATCCTCCAAATGTCTTTCTCTCTCTCTCTATCTTTCTTCCTTTTTTTCTGCATTTGCGTTACTTAGGTGATGTTATTTTTTGTTTGCTTTTTAGATAAGTCTCAAAAAGTAATAGAACATTGTACCCCAAAATTTTTAAAAATCATTCCATGAAAAACCTCTATCGTAGTTTACAAAAAGAATATAGGCAAATTTTGAAGACACAGCAGAGAATTCATTTGTTTTTTCCCAGCTGCCTTAAGTGACCCACCAAGAAAGCCCTGGGCTCCAGCTCTTAATTACCCCAAAGAGTCTCCTCTCTATGGGTAACAGTTTCAGTAACAACTTTCCCTCAAGCTACTAGCACAACCTACTGACATGAGAGTCCCAGGAGTGTTCAGTTTTGTCTTATAAAATGTCCTGTTTTGTCACAACCACATTTAATTAACTTTTATTTACTGTCTCAAAGGATCTTTGTTACAAAGACCGGCACTGGCACGAAGGATGCTTCAAGTGCACCAAATGCAATCACTCTTTGGTGGAAAAGCCTTTTGCTGCCAAGGATGAGCGCCTGCTGTGCACGGAATGCTATTCTAAGGAATGCTCCTCCAAGTGCTTCCACTGCAAGAGGACCATCATGCCTGGTAGGATCTCAAGGGGGCTCCTGTCTCTAACTGAAGCTGCCATGCTTTTCATTAAGTCCCAGCACATGAGGAGTGCTGCAGCTCCCAAAACCCTGGTTTTGAGAAAGACATCTTTCTTACTCTCTCAATCTCCTTCCGTGTACCTTAGAAATAAAAAGATTGTTCATTCATTATCCTTGAATAGGTAAATTACAGTGTTCTGTGTATTTTCATGAAGTCTAATTCATTGAAACATTTCAAACCAGAACCTCACCCATAAAATAAAGAAAAATTTATAGCAATAATACTACGTTAAACGCAGTGCCCTAGGCATAATGAATGGCATCAGAAAGAGTGACTCATCATAGGCGACTGGGGCCAACTGTCATTTTGTAGCTTGACACAAACTGTTTTGGGGATCAGTCATTGTTATTCTCTCTTAGGGAAGACAGGGTTCATGTACATCATTCCACTTCTGGCAAGGACTAATTCTTTATATTTTGATCTTCTTCTCAATCTCTATGGACAGCAGCATAAGAACATAATTCAATCTTACTGTCTCACTCTTGCTCTCTCATTTTCTTATTATGGATTCAGAGAATTTCTAGAAGGCCATAACTGCACAGCGTAGTCTCAGTAGTTGTGCTCAGGGCATTTTTCATACCCCTGTAATGATTTTGATGGCCCAATTTATCCAAACCATGTAAAACGATTAGGAGTCTTCATTCGAAGTACTTTTACATCTCCAGATTATAGGTTATGAAGGGCTTGAAAGACTTTTCAGTGTAAGGGTGATTCTCCATCACCATGGCTGAACTTTACCAACCTTTTCTTTTCTTTTTTTTCTTTTTTTCCTCAGATGAATGGGTTTTTTTGAACCTGAAAAAATGCTATTTTTCTAAAAGGACAATTCATTTATCATCTTAACTTAAAACGTCTTAAAGTAATTTGATCTGTATTATGCTTGACTTATACTAACAGTTCCTTAATTTTGGAGCACAGGTTCCCGCAAAATGGAATTTAAAGGAAACTACTGGCATGAAACCTGTTTTGTGTGTGAGAATTGCCAACAACCTATAGGGACAAAGCCTTTGATCTCCAAAGAGTGTGGCAATTTTTGTGTGCCGTGTTTTGAGAAGGAGTTTGCTCACTACTGCAACTTTTGTAAGAAGGTAATTTTCTAAAGAGGGTGAAGCTTATGGAAACTCAGACCTTTTCTTTTTAGCTGTATCGTATATTTGGAATGAACTGATATTGTTACGCTATATCTGCAATCACACACCCATAGTAGTTTGGACTTTCAACATGTCCAAACCACTAATTGTCACGATGAGGATAACCATCTTTTTTTTGTTAACCATAAAATTCCAGCCACAGCAAGAATTTAATATTCCAAACAGCTCAAGTGATTTGGTATTCCAGTTCATTGCACTGTTTTTTTTTGTTGTTGTTGTTATTGTTGTTGTTGTTTTCCTGAGATGGATTCTCACTCTGTCGCCCATGCTGGAGTGCAGTGGTACAATCTCAGTTCACTACAACCGCTGCCTCCTGGGTTCAAGAGATTCTCGTGCCTCAGTCTTCTGAGTAGCTGGGATTACAGGTGCTTGCCACTGCATCCAGCTAATTTTTGTATTTTTAGTGGACACAGAGTTTCACCATGTTGGTCAGGCTGGTCTCAAACTCCTGACCTCAGGTGATCCACCTGCCTCAGCCTTTCAAAGTGCTGGGATTACAGGCATGAGCCACCACACCTGGCCCATTCACTGCTTTTATACAAGATCTCACGTATTCTGAGAGAAAGCACAGGTCTGTCTTTGAATACAGATGTTTCTTAAAAAATAATTTTTGATCCATTCAGTATTAACTGTTTCAGAGAAATATGGATTTGCCTCACAAAGTGACTAAGGGAACCAAGTTAAACAGGGCGTTTAACTCTTCACATTCTTTCTCAGCAATGCAAATGTCTTCTTCACTTGAAGCTTTTGTATTTCCTAAGAGTAGAGCAATCAGCTCAAGAGAGTGCCAAGATCATGGGGGACGTTCAGCAGACAAAAGACAGAAAGAAGACTAAGGGCAGCAAGTTCCTTTACTCCAGCTCCAGGATCATGTACAGCCTTCTGACTTGGCTTCCCACTCAAAAAACATTTTCTAAGAGAAAAAAAAAAAAAGTGATTTTTTTGAAGTAAACTTCATCCAATTCTTTTTTTATCCTCTAAGCTTTTATGTGAAAAAGTAGCTCTAACACCTTGATGAAGCCTGTCTGCATTCCATATAATATATATGGGATGTTCTCAAAGAAATCCTTGATCTCTGAGGCATCATAAGTTTAAAATGATACCATAAATTGTCATAAGAAAGCTGAATCATGAAAATACATTGGATTAGTATAGTGGTTTCAAGGTACTTTTTATCTATGGGCCACTTTGGGAGAACTCTTAAGCCTGTTTGTATATCTGGACAGCTGGAAGTCACACTACCACTTTCTACACACGCATATGTGAACACACATACACATACACACACACATGCAGTGATTGTTTAACATGCATAACCAATACCAGTATTTCATTTAAAGAGGCATCAATATACTATACTAAGTTATAATTATTAAATTATACAATGTTGATGGCTGAGAATTGTAATTGATGACAACATGATATAAAATAATCTTATGACTGAGACCTTCATTACTCTACCAAAACACTAGCTTAGAAAATGACTTTACAAGCAGCAATCAAGCCATATGACCATGTGACATATGAATTGCAAAGAATTACCAATGATAACATTTAAAAACATGCTGGAGGTTAGGCATGGTGGCTCATGTCTGTAATCCCAACACTTTGGAAAGCCAAGGTCGGAAGATTGCCTGAGGTCAGGAGTTCAAGACCAGCCTGGGCAACATAGTGAGACCCTGTCTCTATTTAAAAAAAAAACAAACTTTAAACATTAGCCAAGCATGGTGACATGTGCCTGTAGTCCCAGCTACTTGGGAGGCTGAGGCAGGAGGATCACTTGAGTCCAGAAATTCAAGGCTGCAGTGAGCTATGATTGAGCCACTGTACTCCAGCCTGGGTGACAACGAGATCCTATCTCTAAAAAATATACAAAACTTAAAAATTAAAGAAATTAAAAACATGCTGGAAATAAAATGAATAGATTCATCTCACTGTTTTGAGAGACAACTGAGTTAGCCAATTTTAGACTTCATTTCTTAAAGACTTAGACTAAAACAGTAATGAGATTTGTGAGAATTATCTTAAAATCATTTATTGGATACAATATAAAGTCTCTTTCAATGCTATAACAATTCAAGAGTGAAGCTTCTTTAGTACATCCATGCTGAGCACTGTCTAGGCCAAGTGCTGATGTTTCCCAGGTTATTGGAGCCTGTAACTATATTTAGGATATGATTTGAAGTCACCAAACATTTACAAAATATTTATATTGGGTAGTAGACAGATTATGACATACTGGATTATTTTTTATTTAGTTTTTAAAACCACAAGTCCTTTTCTAAAAAGCTGGATATGTTTTTGAACAAGATGATCCAATCTAAACAATTTTTTTCAACCCAAACCAAAACCGAAATATTTTCTTAAAAAAAAGAAAAAACGACCTGACAATCAGGCTCTTAGAACTTTTAAGCTCTAAAATCCATAGATTTTATTTTGTTACACTAAGATTTATTTTCCGCCAGAAAGCAAATGATTTTAAACTACAAGCCCTTCAAATTCGAACTCCTCAAGGTTCAAAAGGAGTTAAACGTCTTCTTCAATTTTTCATCTGTCACCTACAGAGTGCAAAATCATTATTGCCTCCACTTTTTCAGAGGAGAAACTTGTTCTAAATCCTGGGATCAATCAGTGATGAAAACCAAACTTAGATATTAGACTTCATCTTAACCTTCCTACCTCTTCAAAAGGAATGTAATCACAAGCAAACTATTTCTAATGTTCCAGAGTTTCTTGTCTCTAATTAAACAGTCTTTGGTGTATATATCAAGTTTTATTTTGCTGTGAATACATTTTTCAAGTTTCAGATCTTTTAAGCATTGCCTGCTAATCATTAGACCAAACAAATCAAAGGAATCATGAATTCTGCTGTGTCTGCTGTAGGGCATTGGAAGTCAGTAGGGGGTATTTTAAATTGCTTTACTTCCATCACACCATTATGCTTCCCATTTACTTATTCAGAATAGTATGCTTTTTTCCTCTAGGAAAATATCTTTCATATCAAATATCTTTAATTTCTAAGATATTTGTTATACGATTAAAAATATATTTAGAATAATTTTTTCACAAGTCTATGTCACAGACAAATAACATTTTCGAGTTTGTAAACAAGGAGGTGGCTTAAAATAGGCTCTATGTTTTACTATCTAGTTAATTTGATACAAAGGTTGTGGGAACCACCTCAGATATCCCATTGCTTCAGTCATTACAAAAATTTACAAAAACACATTCCAATATCTGCAGCAACTCTAAGAGCTCATTAGCTGTAAATTCAAAAGGTGATATGGCTTAAAAATAGTTACACGAGAAAAATTGCCCAATATTTATCCATCTGATTCTAAATAAAGATTTCTCAGCCTTTTAAAAAGTAGAATTCATGGATTAAATTCATTTAGGAAAAAAAATTACCTTATGCAGAACTAATTACATCTCTGGCAAAACACTTCACATAACACCTTAAGGCTCAACATACAACTAGGGCTCACTCCATTGAGTTCTGATTCCCACAACGCCCCATTGCTAGATACAATATTGGAATCACTTTCCAACTATTTTTTTTCTTTGGTATTTATTCATTCATTCAGCAAGGATTTTCAACTGCTTATCTGTGCAAGGTAACCTTGACTCAGTATGGTATTAATGGTGATGCACACAGGCTGTGGAGTCAGACCATGCAGGTTTGAATCCTAGCTCACTGTGGCGATGGCAAGTAACTTAATGACTGTAACCCTCAGTAGTTGCTCATAGGAAAAGAGGGAAAGATAATATTCTCTACAATGTAGAGGTGTTGAGAATATTCAGAAGAGGTCATCCTTAGCACGATGCTAAGGACTAAAAAAACACTTAAGAAATGGTAGTTGTTATCAACAAATAATGGTGCTTACCAATTCCCTTCAGAGTTACTGCTGTTGGATATTCTTGTACCTGGTGTAAAAAGCTCAGGAAAAAGAAAAATTCTTTTAAGCATCCCTAAAGTTAGACAGGTAGTTATAAGAACATAGTATAGAAAATAGCTCTAACAGCAGATCTTTAAAAACCAAAATTAAGAAAATTCAGAGAAGTATGAGGAAGTGAATAAAGAACGTGTGTGCTTTTCTCCCCCATCTTCCTGAGTCCAACAGGGCCCTGCCTCTGTTCTATTTCATTGTAGGAGAAAAATATACAATAATTTTTATTTCTTTCTACTTCTAATTAATTCCTATAACCTTTGGTTTCTCATATTATTAATTTTTTAATGACTTTTTGAGGAAAAGAACATCCTAAGATGAAAATAGAGTAGCCGAAAGCACCAGTTGTGGACATAGAAGGCATGAAATGATCTTTTTTTTTTTTTTCTTTTTGCTTCCTTTAATCCCCAGAGATACTAGGATCTCAAGAGAATCATGAAATGATCTGAATTGTAATGGCTCCCATGGTCATTGCCTTTTCTGTGGTCTTTGGCAGGTGATAACTTCAGGTGGGATAACATTTTGTGGCCAGCTATGGCATAAAGAGTGTTTTCTGTGTAGTGGCTGTAGGAAAGATCTCTGTGAAGAACAGTTTATGTCCAGAGACGACTATCCATTCTGCGTGGACTGCTACAACCATCTTTATGCCAACAAGTGTGTAGCCTGTTCCAAACCCATTAGTGGTGAGTTCTTCAGTTCAATATGATCTTGCCATGAGACAGTTATGACTATATGAAACGCTGTCTAGTTAATTTAGGAAATGCGATTAAAGGATGGGAAGCTTTCATTTATGTTTCCTTTTGAGATAAACACAAGTGGGTACAAATATATGAGCATAAATATTACATGGATTATTCAAGGAAAGTATAATTTGGGTGCCTATACTCGGTAAAGGTAACTACCTACTAAACCTAATGATACTGACTCAAATTAAAAGACCTTCACAAGGAGGTCTGCTTGCAGCCTCATTAAGATTTGAGTGGGAGGAAAGAGTACTCATAAATCAGAATCCTGCTTAATTCCAAAATAGGACCAAGCATCCTTTAGTTAGGAAGGTTTTAATTAAATTCCACTATTGTATAGAACATCTGAAGCTGTAATAATTAAGGTAACATAGGTCAGTAATTAATTAAACTTCATTTTAAGATGCTTCTAACAAATGTATTACTCTCTTTTCTCTATTCACGTGCAATTATGAAGTGCATTTATGAGTAGATGAAAGAAAACAAGATAGCATTTTACTGAAAAAAAATGTGACATGATTTGAAAATAACATAATGATAAATCGATCCATGTTAAAGAGGTTTTCAAGGTAAAAAGAAATACATCTTTTCCTCAGAGACACCTTTAAAATGCTAATCCTATAATAAAGGAACTGAAACTAGCATGACACTTGAGAAATCCAGCAGGTATTCTTTCTGGCAATTTATAGTCACCTAATAATGTGTCAGAACTGTATATCTACTTTCTATTCCTAGTATTCTTAGATCATATTTCAATTTTTAATTCAGTTTACATACCATAGAATTAAAGATTATTTTATCCCTTTCCTCCTTCTTCATCTTCAAATATGTAACAAAATAAAAGTTGAGTCTTCATGCACTTTCCAACCGAAAGAAAAAGTTTCACAGCAAGCCCTACCTTGGCAGGCTTTCACTGACTTGCAAGGGAAGGGAGGGTGTCACCAGAAAAAACAGCATGGTCTTACTTCTCTAGACGGAGCACCATGTGTGTCAGGATCTCACACTGGCCCACAGGCTACATCTGGCCAGCAGGCAGGTGATGTTTGGCCTGAACATGTTTGGAAATGTAAAATCCATCTCTGCAGCTAAAAGTAGAGGAAGAACCTACCATTGGGTGAGCAAACTGTCTCCACATTAACCAGCAGGGTCACCATCATATGGAACTAGTGGCTGTTCAATTGCATTGGGCATGCCCTCTCTGTTCCTTGCACCCTGTCTGCATCACTCAGCTAGATCACCTCCCTGGCCCTTGCAAGAACTTGCCTTAGCAGTCTCACACCACTGGGCTCCAGGGTCCATGCTTTTAACCACCCTGCTCTCCTGCCTTCTACAAATTTGGCAATTCCTATAGCCAAGAGAACAAGCCACTATCTCCACTGATTTTAGTTAGAAAATGGGACTTTCAGATATCCAACAGTACCTGGAGCTCCAGAATCTCCCTAGTAAAATCTGCAATCACAGTCCATTTATTTTATAACAATACTTTTCTTGAATCGGGACAGAGAAAAGGAGAACTTCAATGAGAAAATCAGGAAATTAACAACTCAAAATAGGTTTCAAAATTCTCTGGGCATCCAGATGGCTAATACTGATCTGCAAAAAGCCTACACAAGCCCTGAACTTGAGTTTCAATTCTGATATATCACAGATTCATGTGCCTAAGTGATTTTTCTCATAGATTGTTCCAGATCACTGAGCCCAGGCTTTTAAAGTTGAGATGGAAAAACAACGTTGTTCTGCACAAAAATATAAGGATGATCAAGAGCAAACAATCTGACCCAAAAGTAATCTAAATGCAATATTATATATTTTATTCAGACTCATCAGTCCACAGGAAATGTCTAATAACTATTTTAATCTCTTTTCTAAACTTTTTGATTGAGACACCAGAGACTGAAATGCCTGCAAGAACTTACAACTCACTTTAGTATTTCTTGATCTAATTGTTAAATATCTATAGACCCTGTAGTACTGCTTCTTTAAAATTGAGCTATTTCAACTGATGTACCATTGGAAATCTGATACTGTTACATGTCTTCAGAAAATTGGCATTCATCTGATTACTATATCACTTTAAGAAGCTAGGTATTCTTGGTCAAAGGATACAAAATTTCAGTTAAACAGGGGAAATAATTTCAAGAGATCTATTGTACAACATAGTGACTATAGTTAACAACTATGTATTATATACTTGAAAATTGCTAAGAGAATAGATTTTAAATGTTCTCACCACACGCAAAAAAAGTATATGATAAGGTAATAGATATGTTAATTGCCTTGATTTAGCCATTCCACAATGTATACATATACAAAAACAACACATTACATATGTACAATTTGTATTTGTCAATTAAGATTAACTAATCCATTAATTTTTTTAAAAAGCTCTGAGAAATCTGCCTATAAATCACCAAGTATAATTTTTAAAACCCAGCACATTGAACTGCTTCATTTGAACAAACTCCAGGTATAGCTACCATATTTTCTCCTCCTTTAAGATAGGATTAACCCCTTAAATTATCAGGGATAAATGAAGCAGCTTCATGCAGTGAAAAGGGCTCGGACTGAGGAGCAAAAGACTTGGTCCTCCTGTCCCCACTGCTGTGTCACCATGGGTGACTAACTCACGTCCAGGGTGGGAGGCCTTCATTTGCCTTATTTATAAAACAAGCAATTGAGCAGCTTTGCTTTCTTCCATCTCTGTTTATTTCAAGGAAAAGGAATTTCAAATGTTGTGGTTTCTTCAGAGAGCGATGCTAATGTTCCTGACCATGTTCTTTACCAAAGAGAAACTCAAACTTAGTTTCATGAGGTTAAAAGCAGAGACTCTAAAGACAACTGGCCTGTGCTTAAATAGTAGGTCTGCTGCTTACTAGCTGGGTAACCTGGGGCAAGTGGTTAAACTTCTCATTTTTCAGTTTTTGTCTGCAAAGTGGGACTGATGCTAATATCTACCCCCACGAAGGTAAGGTGAGGTCTGTATAAGGTAACACACATAAAGACTTAGAATAGTGATTGGCACACATTCAAGCACTCAACAAATGCCAGCTCTTATTCTACTGACTTGTCAGAAACCTATGAAACCAGATAAAACAGGTGCCAGAGACCCGCTTCAGGGATGACTTTCTTACTGCAAATAACCCTCATGAGGATTTGGGAGTAAGGGAGTAAACATATCCTTTTTGGAACAGTTTGCAAACGTCTCACATGTTGGTTCAGCCCTTTCTTAAAGTTGTCAGATGCTTCTAGTTTTTCTTCTTCATAAAATCTGGAAGAATTGCTTTTATATTTGCCACTTGTACAAGGCTTACTAATAAAATTAAGAAAAACTCAAGAGTATCAAAATGCTAGACATGTAATAGTTTTATGAATAGCATAATTTATGTATATACAGAACATTACTCTTGCAGTCAGCTTATTAACGTTTTGAATAACATTAAGGGAATTAAGTAGTACATAATTAATTTACATTTATTAGGAAGTAATGTTGATAGCATCATAGATAAGCGAGCTATAAATTTAATCAAGGAAAGCAGAGGAATTTGATGTAAATTTCTCTATGAACTACTAAATTATATATGAAGACATCAAATAAGTTTGTTACGATGGAAACAAAAGTTCACTATCCTATTTAAGAATGTATCTGAAATAGAATGCTATTCACCCTTTCACATCACCATTCCAAATGGAGTATTTGGAAATTACATATGAATTACATAACTCTTTTAGCCTCACTCCATGGATGATAAGCAAATAATAGCACTAAGATTACTGGGAGAAAACACGAAATAAATAAAGACCCAAGCCTAGGGCATCTCAACCTCTTCCCAAACCCTAAACATTTTCTCCCTTTATGGAACTTCTCAAAATCAGTTTCTTGAACTATACCCTGGAATCACATTAGGGAGAGAGAGATCAGACCCTCACTGACGATTCAAATTCTACTACTTTTAAAAGAAACTGTGTGGCTCAAGGGAGGCCCAGGTTAAAGTGGAGGAGGCTGACAAAGCCCTTAGAAACCAATCACTGGATAACGTGGCTTCATTGGTCAGATTCAACAAAAGCTGAAGTTGTCTCTGAGTGAGGTAATAAGGCCACCACGTTAGGATAGCTGAATGATTAGACAAAATTCTCTATTTTGGGCTTTCTAGAAATAGTGTCCCAAACCATATGACCCCAGGATGTATTCTAAGTACAACTAAGCACAGAAAAATGAGGGGAAAGAAAATTAAAAGTCGTTACAACATCGGACGTCAGCGTAGAAAGTGCACATTTATTTCATTTTGTCTTAATTTTGCAGCTAAGAAAACTTAAAGTCATATAGAGAAAAAGAGGAAATGTATTCATACTTAGATATCTCTGGCTTTACAACCTATACCTTCTTTCCACTACGCTACACTGTATTTTCTTTTCCGGGTTAGACAATCCTTATCTGTTTCCAAAAATACGTGACTTGCATATCAGCATTCTGCCTTCTTCTGTAGATTATGGCAGAATTTGGCTGCGAATCTGGTTTGGTGGCATAGGTGGAACTTTCCTACAGCGGATAGGTCCAGATGGACACAGGCCCAGGAAGCAGCATTCTTTTTTGGGTTACTTGCCTCTATGTTGTCTTGCTCACGGCTATATCTCCATTTCCTAGAGGAGTATATGATAGAATGCTCAATCTGTTCCTTGAAAGGATAGATTAATCTTTTTCTCCAATTCCTTTACAGGTCTCACAGGTGCCAAGTTTATCTGCTTTCAAGACAGCCAGTGGCATAGCGAATGCTTTAACTGCGGGAAGTGCTCTGTCTCCTTGGTGGGTAAAGGCTTCCTGACCCAGAACAAGGAAATCTTCTGCCAAAAATGTGGCTCCGGGATGGACAGTGACATCTAGGAGACAGTCCTTTCCCACCTAAAATCCACTTTGCCTTTGTTGTCACTAAAGCCAGAATTCAATTGCAGTCTTATTTTTGACTTAAGTTTTAGAAAATATTAATGTAGTTTAGAATGGAAAAGTTTTTGCACACAGTTTGATCGAACTGTATTCTAAGGGCACAAAAGCACAGTAGAACAGAAATGAATATATGCTAAATCACAAAGACAACTCTCCTTGCAAAATACTGCACTCTGCTGTTAGAAACATAGGAAAATATCTCTTCATAATCAAATATATGACATATACCTAGGAGCTGTGGATGTAATTACTGAAGAATGAGGTTTTTCATACCTGAAGAGTAAAAGAAAAACTAAGAGCTCAAACTGAGAGGTATGCATGAGACTAGTGTTTGCATTCCTGGTTATATGTAATGTGATAAATTAGCTATGAATGGTAAAAGAACAAAAGTGATCAGAGTAAATTCATCAGCAATTATCACATTTAAGAATTGTTATGATTTAAAAATCATTCTTTTTTTGTTCACACATACTGACTTTAGAATTAAAAAACAAAGCTACAATTTGTCCTCATACGCAGTTTCCACAGCTTGCTAGCTCCGTGTTTACTCAATGGAATATGAGAATTGAAGACTTTATGGCTCTCATAATCTGCATAGGTATAAAGGGGATCATTTCTACCTAGGGATAGCCAAACCATGGGTTTCAACACATTTTGTATTAAATGTGTTTTCAAAGTCCACAGTGATTTTTCTAAACGCTTACAGATTCCATGAAATAACAGTCATTCTTTCAAGTGGAGTTAACCAGGATAATCTTTGTCCCTAAAGGCAAACCTTTAAAATAAATAGATCATTAAATCATCACTTGTGGAAATGAGTTTTAGGGAAGGGATTGAGTGTTGGAACATGACTTTCATCCAGATATCTAAAGACATAATAGAATGCATAATTAGCTCTGTGCCTCATGTATTTTGTCTTCTAAAATTACATAGATGATTAATGGGCAGACATAAAAGTGGGCTTTAAAGAAATCTAGTAATAATAAAAACTGAAAAAGAATGATTCACTGCTGATAATTCCGAACCTGCAAAGCAGCACAATAATGTGCACTGTAGGGGAGCCCTCCCCACTCTTCCCCCACACCTGTGCCACCGACCTTACCCCAAGTCAATCGTGCCCCCAGCTTCAATCTGCTGCATAACCAGGAGGTGCACTCCTAACCCTAAGCAACCGTCCTACAAGTCAGTCAGTGTTTATTGATCACACAGGAAGTAAACAGCCTTAGTTGGAAGTCCAGCACCAGGTTTATCTTTATACCAGACTTTAACTGATGGTGACCCTACCTTGCTGCCCCTGGATATTTTCCACATTACTTGGGACAAATGGAGAGCAACCTCTGCTCTCCATGATCAGTTATCATATTGGTTATAGCATCTCTTGGGTGGAGTAGGGGGAGGTCAGGAGAAGAAGCCCGCATAGATATATAAGTGTCTTCTCTCAGATTATAGATTAGAGCATTAAAGGTTTTGATTAAAATCTAATTATAAGATACTGCTGATCACAATTACCAAAATAGCATCACAGGAGATTCAATTAAAATTGTCATGGAAACAATTTTTGAAATAGTTTAAAATGCAAGAACATTCAGGGATGTTAACAATTTAGAGATACTAATAAATGTTCTGCTAGATAGACTATTTGAACACTATAAATGTATTTTGGGGTTAACAATGCCCAGATACGTTTTCATATTCTCATTGCAAAATACAGGCAAAACTAGCAATATTTTTTCTGCATTATATGAAATTTCACAGGTAAAACTAAATCTATGATGTAGAAAATAATAGTACATTACACATAGTGAAAACTAAGCCACTTAGGTTTAGATAGATATATAACATGTAACATCTTCTCTGTTAACCAATTATAGATAAGTATACAACATGTAATGTTTTCTTAGTTAAATAATTGGAAATGTTTAGGCATTTTACTGTGTGTGGGAGGGTGGTGAGTATGCACATAATCAGACTTGTATTCTAGCCTTACAATTAAAATTCACAGAATCGTTTCCTAAAGATTTTATTATCCTTTCATAAGTATAAATAGATGTACTTTTACATATGAATAGTTCTGCGTTTAGAAGGTATCCTACACATCAAACATCCATTAAACATGTGCCAAAAGTTAGAGCTTACACTGTTGTGGTTCTGGAGTGATAGGAGGATGGATCAGGGTATGGAAACGCAGAAGTGCGTGATGCAGAGATCCTTGCCTACAGGTTAAACAAAGCACCACTGTAGACATAGGACACATATACAAAACAACTAAGAAAAAAGACTTCGTTAGGTCTTTGTGTAATACACACAAAGATAAATGTAAAAATTATATAGTTGATTTATACGGGTTATGTGACAAAGAGAAAAACTCTCTTAATGGACTTATCCAAAGATGAAATGGACTGCCTCAGGAAACAGTGGGTTCCCAGTAATTCAAAGGTGACATCTGCATAGGCAGGAAAGAAGTTAAAAGCAAATCCCACGTGCCAATAACAACCAGATGGCTTGGAAGTAGCAGAGACTGTGCCGAAGAGCAGGAGAAAATAAGACTGCTAAAAGAGAAAGAGTCAGAGGAAGGGAGATATTAACTCTTAGGATAAAAAGTGTATATAACAGGCCATAGAAAGTTACCAACTGTTCTTAAGTAAAGGAAGAAAGTAATTATTGCAGTGTTTGAGGGAAATTATGCTATTGATTCTTTGTGGAATAGAACCAAAGAAAGCAAGGTTCCAAGGATTAACTTTCTTACTGCAGTAATAAGTTTGGTTAATGGCTACAAAAGTGAAAAGAAAGAGGAAAAAGGCATTGAAGGCCAAGAGTTATATTTGTTGGCAAAGTCAACAAGTCAAAATATTTTATTTTGTCATGTTGGGGATTAAAGATGACAAAAGAAGCAAAAATATATTTCTGCTTCAATAATAATGACTAGGATGCCCAAGGGTTCAATTTTAACTTGGCATTTTATATAAGTGTTAAATTGGGACAAACTAGCTCCACTGGTTAAGTAAAATGTGGTTATGTTACAATTCAGGCTTCAAAGCTCACATCGTTGCTATAACTTAAAAAAAAAAGGAACACTAGATTGTTCATTGGAGTAAAATATTGGCCTACCATTATGAAAAATGCATAACACTAATCACAAATGGTTAAAAAAATCACTGCCAAATTTAATATCACAAATGAAAAGTCAATCCAAAAACACATTTGATGTTAGCAATACCATTTTTGAATTTAAGAAAAAAAATTTTTAATCTACTTGGCATATTGTTAATTGTTTTTTAAATAAGAAAATGGTTGTTTGGCAGGGCGCGGTGGCTCACGTCTGTAATCCCAGCACTTTGGGAGGCCAAGGTGGGTGGATCACGAGGTCAGGAGATCTAGACCAGCCTGGCAAACACGGTGAAACCCCGTCTCTACTAAAAATACAAAAAAACTAGCCAGGCGAGGTGGCGGGCGCCTGTAGTCCCAGCTACTGGGGAGGCTGAGGCAGGAGAATGGCGTGAACCCAGGAGGCGGAGCTTGCAGTGAGCCGAGATCGCGCCACTGCACTCTAGCCTGGGCGACAGAGCGAGACTCTGTCTCAAGAGAAAAAGAAAATGATTGTTACAGTGTGTTCTAGATATATTTAATCAAGCACATAGCCTGTAATATATCTATAGATAGATGTTTATTATGATAATGATACAGTTTTTGCTAATTTTATACATTGGTTTTTAGAAGTGTCTTATACTGAATAAATTTACATTTTACATAGTCTATATTACTCATATTATTTTTAAAGATTTATTTTTTACATTAACTGTTTAGTAAACAAAATAGGTGTGGAATAAATTCTGTATTGTTTCTACTTCTATTACATAAAGGAACATGATGACTTTTACCTTCTATTACCCATCTGTTTTTACAACATTCAAGTTGTAACTGTATATTCAGATACCATTTCAGGCATAAAACAGAATTGTCTGGCCCAAACAAAATCTCTCTTCTGTTAAACTAGGAGATCTATGGCTATGCTCTGACAGTCATAAAATGCTAAAATATTCTAAACTAAAAAACAAAACAAAACAAAACAAAAACCTCTATTACTTCTGTGATTCTGAAAATATTTTATGAAAAAAAAAATTCCACTTCAATTGAATTTTTCTACTTTGATGCAGGTAGTCTTTGCTAATTTCTTATTTTTATATGTAAGGAATTGCTAAAACTCTTGGTGGCTTTAAACCCTTATTCTATCTAAAGCAAAATTTATGTCTGTTACACAAATCTTCATGAAACTTTAATCCATATTATTAGTATCAGTTAGTTACTCTCCAGAATCTTGGAGGCTGAATTCTTTTAACGTCCAAACCTGTTCCACAAAGAATATTTGGAAGAACACCCTCATCAAACATTTCTAGCTCACTTTTTAAGTCACATGGTTTTGAAAAGTAAAGATCTTATGGGGACCCACAATATAAACCTTATGTCTTGGAGTAGTGTCTCTTCAATGAAAGAGTCAGAATATCACTAGAAATTACAGTTGTTAGGTATTACTTTTATCCTAAACCTCTTCTTCCAGGAGTATTAAGTCTTTAGATCTTCATTATCCTACCAGAAACATTGCAGGACTGACTGAAATGGGATCACCATTAAAAAATGTATGGGAACTTTGAGGTCCTCTTTTCAGGGAGAGGTAAAGGAGAACTGTCAAGACTTGGGAAAATACATCACCAGGATAGATATGGCCTTATGACTTCTCAGAATTTACTGAATCTGTATTGTGTTATGTCAACATTTAAAAAAGGATACCAAGGAGAGAGGATATCAAGTCTTCATTTGAACCATCCATCTCAAAAGAATTTAGAAATGAGTCCATCCACTCAAGTCATCCATGTGGCTTCTTAGATGGTACCAAAAATGTATCATCCAGAGAGAATTAGAGAAGTTTTGTATGATAATTAAAACCATTCTGAATTTTTTTGGCTGATAAGCTTTAGACCAAATACTCTATTCAATATGGAGGAAATCAAAAAGGAGAGAAAAGAAACAAGAGATTCAGACTCAAAGTTGGAGTCTATAAAAGAAATAACAGAGTTTACATGTATTTGAAATGACTGGATTTTATATCACTGTGGTTGAGAAAGGGAGCAGCTTGCTGTGATAGAATTGTGATCTGTGTCACCGAGGAGCAAAGAGTATTTGGGTCAAATATTTTCCCACGAATGTTAACAAACTTATGGAGTGGATGCCCGTAAATGGTTCTCTAAATGAGGAACGTTAATGAGCTCAGCAGACATTCATCCAATGACTCAAACAGTGACATTAAATGCTATTCCTGCTACACATAAAAACAAAAAGTTTTATATTTATGGAATTCCACACACTGAATCCTTAAGGCTTACTCCTTCTTTAACAAATGACATCGCATCCCTTGTTTGCCTCTGTAGCATCACTGATAAGTCTGTTTATTCGAGAGCTTCAACCCAACCTCTCAAACAGGAAATGAATGAAGGAGTATGGATAGAAGAAAAATGGAGAAAAAGAGTGTGGTGATAAAAATTTTGACATTTCTGAAATAAAAAATTAAATTTTTAAAACTTTCGTTTTCCCTATGTAATAAAAACTTGCCAAAAACTACAAGATAGTTACAAGAGGCAAAATATATAAACAAAAAAGGAAGTTTGATAAAATTTTGGGCTTAAGGACTACAGTTAGTCTTCTCCCCTCCATGGAAATTACTCTCTTAGACACCACCAACT